CAGACCTGAATCCATTAGATTTTTTCTACTGGGGCTGTTTTAGGACAAAATTTATTCAAAAACAATTAAAAACGAAGAGCATTTGCGGGAGCAAATAAATGGAGCTGCTGCTGAGATAGCCCAATTGAGTTTAAGATCTCTAAAAGCGTATTTTCTTAAACGGTGCCGAGCTTGTATTAGAGTAGAAGGTCACCAATTTGAGCATATTTTATCAATAAATGAATAAATTTTGCTTCAAACACCTCATGTATATTTTATTTCACGTGAACCCATCCTTCACAAAAAAAATTGATACATATAGCCCTTGTTATAGACTCTAGTCCGAATTCCGGTAAGTAACATAAAATAATGTCAGGCGCATGTAATAATGTACCTTTGTACTATTTAGCATGTCATTGGTCGGTAACAAGACCAACTTAAATTTAAATCTATTAAATACATTCTAGCGTGTCTCAGTCGTTTACCCACAAAAGCGGCTATAACTTTTTTTTTCTATTCGAAATAGTAAGAGTGGCACCTTTCTGAAATATTTATTAAATGAGCAATTTTTTTATGTAATGTAAAGTTATAGCTCAGTACATTTTTTTTTCACTAGAGATAGTCAAAGTTGGGGAAGAAAATATCAAAAAGTTAAAAATCCCAATATAGTCCTAATTTTATAAGGGTTCCTTAATATATTTTAACTACATTGCATTTGAGTATGGAGAAAAAACTATCTAAAAGTATTTTACATAAAAAATTTACTAAGTATAGCCTTGTTTGCAGATACAGTTAAAGAAAATACATGAAAAGGCACGATTTTTTTTTTAATAAAAAAATGTAAATATTTTAAAAACGGTGACACTTTTTTGTTTATCAAAGAGCCCACTTATGGTTACATATGTATATCTTGGTAACCGCTGCACCAATTTCTTCCAAACTTGGCACGGTTGTTGGTCTTGGTATAAGATACGAAATTTCTGAAAATTTTTAAAATCGGACAATAACCACGCCCACATCCTTTGTAACGGTAAATTAGAGAAATACGAAATCTTCGATAAATCAGTAAATATTAAAGCTAATTTATTCAAGATTGATGCTTGCAATAACTCTTTACCAAGAAATATGTTTATGATCAAATTTTGGAAAATGGGCGTGGCACCGCCCACTTATGATCACATATATGTATCTTGGTAACCATTCTACCAATTAGCACCAAACTCGGTTGCCACGTAGAAGCAAAGCGTTGAAAATTATGGAAATCGGACTAAAATTACGGGCCCTGTTCATATAACGGTAAATTTCAGAAATGCTTGAAACTTCAATAATTCGAAATATACTCAAAATTGATATACCCCGGCTTACCATGTAGCGGTAGCTTTGGGAAAGGTGAAAAACATATATTTAATACTTGCGCCGGGTTTTTAATGTTCGGCTCCGCCCGAAATTAGACTTTCTTACTTGTTTGCAGCGTTACCGATTTCGTCTTCATTTTGACGTTTTTTAAGCTCAATGACGTTTTGATGATTTGTCTCCCCGTAATGACGATTTTCTATTTTAGTTTTTTCACCTAACTACATATGTAAGTATGTATGAAAACAATTTTTTAAAGTAAAACGTAATCCAAAGTATAACCGTGCATTTATCTAGTTTTGTTCTACAACAGTGCTTTTAGTTATATTAAATTTGTTCTAGAATTGTAACCAAATCGTTAATTTGCACTGTTGACACTGATATGAAAGAGACAGAAAAATAGCAGAGGGAATTTGTTCAGTCAAGTTTATCTATCAGGTAATAAATGCTAATGGTACACTTTCAAAATCTTCAAAAACTTCAAGCCAGTGGATTTGAACAATTTAAAAGCAGTTGTGTTTTAAATTTAAAATTGTCGTTAACAATTACCCATTAACCCATATGCAATGTGGGTTCATTTTGGTTTTGAAATGTGTGGTCATATTTATTGTATGTATGTATTGTATTTATGTAATTTTGTTTCTATTTTATATTTGGTTAAAAAGTATAATAAACAAAAATTTTACGTTTTTTTGGCCGAAATTACGATTTTTTCAGGGTAAAATGATGATTTTTCAGCAAAAGCTTTCGGCAACGGTGCTTGTTTATTTTTGCGCGTGCTAGCTGAGTATAAAAAGAGAAGAAAACAGAGAGAAATATGTATGTGGTTTGTTGATGCTCTCTAAACACAAACGCACGAAAGGCAAACGGTCTAGCAAGGTGTGGTATTGCTGATCAACTTAATACTTTAATTAAACATACTTATTATTAAAATTTCTTTTTAAAAATACCACTGTGTCCTATTATGGTAGAAATATGCCATTTTAAAACTTGAATCATAGAAATCGACCCAGTACATCGGCTGTTTTGAGGTTTTTTTTGTGTTTTAATTTTATATATAGTATAGATGATTATCGTCCTATTTCAAGGCGCTTTCTGCGGACGGACCGACAGACAGACATGGCTTAATCAATTCCTCTTTTCATTCTGAGCATTTTTGTATACATTTATGTAAATATATTTCGATTCCTTTAGGCTGTTACATACAACCGTCATGCGAACAAAGTTATAGTACCCTTCAGTATCCTCGAGTATAACAAAACATAACATTCGAAGACTCGAACAATTCGTTAACCCGAAAAAGTCTGGTTTTCATTAGTTCGAGTTATCGCGAGTGCACTGTATTTCTACAGGTTGTACATTCTTATAATGAATATTCACAATATGCAATGTATATGGTTGCAATGCTTCGCAACTATGCATATACAAACAGTTTAAATACCGCACACGGTGGATCTGAACCAACTTTAAATCGAAGGTCATAGCACATCATATTTTTTTTGCTAATTTGGGTTAGTTATGTTATGAATAACTTGTAAAAATATATAATAAATATATATAGTATAGCCCATAACTTATCGAGCCGTTTTTGAAAAAACTCATTTTGAAAGGAAATTATTCCTTTTCTTTTAAAATTTTCACGCTCCCGCTCTAGATGACAAATTGATACATTACAGTTTATATTTATTTTGTAATGTAACTTGTACGATTTATATACAATCAAGTAAGTATATGGTTCAAGTGTCTTAGCTTGTTTTATGCACAAGATGCCGATAAATTCAATTCAAACGAGAAGATTGTGCGCGCACAACATTTGTTCTTTTTAAGTTTCGAATATAAGTATTCTTTATACTTGCAATAGTTTGTGTCAAGTATATCTACAAAACAATAACATGTTTGCAAGACCATGCATGCATGTAGGCAAGGGTCTAGGATTCTATAGCGAGCCAGATGTAGAATCCCTACATTCCGACTTTAAAGCAACTGGGACAAATATAAAGTATTCGTCAAGCATCTGGAATATCCATCTAAATTACTGAGAGCAGTACAAGAATACAATGCTCAACATGTACATATAAGCTACTGTTTAAAAAATTTAAAGGGTTGTATGTAAAACACCATGCTGTTCTCCTATTAGTTGTCCAAAAATACATATATAATCTATATATAAATACGCCACAAGAAAATTTTGCAATCCCCTTTTTGAAGGCACCGTTTGCTCGATTTCTATAAAAAATCATATTTATAATCAGATTTGTTTCACTTTTAGAACACATATTAGTAACATAAAATTTGGTGTAACTTTGTAGCCCAGTCGTGTGATGGAAAAATATTGGGCTTTGGCCCAGTCTTGACCAAAACCCGCGTGAAACCGCCGTTAGAGAAGGAAATATTATCTTCTGTTGTAAGTCTTCAAGATACTTTCTCAACCGTTAACGATTCTGATGAAAAAAAGAAAGAGTTTAGATAGATGTGGGCAATTTAGTTTTTAACCTCCAAGAGGCTCTCAGACAAATATAATCGAACAACTTATTTAAAGTCTGAATTGGTGTATGCTTGACTTATTAGTCAGTGATGAACATCTTTTGTGTACATACAAATACATATGCATATTTTTTATAAATGAAAATCGAGGTTCCCTTTTCGGTCTAATTTCAAAAGCAACTGAAGAAATTTGGAGGAGACTTGATAGAATTAGCATTAATCAATCCGTTATTAACGTTCATAACTCGATTTTAAGTTTTCCTGTAAATTCGCTATAAATATGCTGGTGGACTTCGAAATGTAATTCGCATAAAGGAGTTAGTATTTGGGACCGGTAAAATTCAAAATTGTATGAAAAAAGATGTCTAATTCCGACAGCTGGGCGATACTAGTAAATAAAAAATCTGCTTTATACCCGGTACAGTTTGTAGAAATAAACGATGATCTTTTCAATAATAAAAATTTAGTTGTTTATAAAATATCGTGCATTTTTAAAAGTATTACATAAAAAAATAAATAACGAGTGTTGTAGCCTTAATAGTGTTTCCTTCACATTACAATTTTTAAAAAGGGCGAATGTAATGCTTAAATCCGTAGTCCAATACGTATGTATGAAAATTTTAAAAGAAAAGGAATACATTTTATTTAAACTGAGTTCTTTCAAAAACGGCTCGACAAGTTATGGGCTATAAAATTTTTACACATTATTTCTAACATAAATTACCCAAATTAGCAATAAAAAATGATGTGCTATGACCTTCGATTTAAAGTTGGTTCAGGCCCACCGTGCGCAGTATAATAGTACCCAAAAATTTTATTCGTACGTTTTGGAAGTCAGATAATTTGAAGAAATAAATACAATTTCGTGTGTAAGAATTTTGGCGTCTGTCTGAATAAATAATTCTGTAAACAAACATTTGAAATTTATACACTTGCATAAATTTTTTTTTTCCGTTCCAGCAGTTTTTCTTCTGAGAGATATTTTGCTTTTTGACAGTTCTACAGGTTTAAGTGAAAAAATCGCTGGAGACGCACCTTATATTTAGTATTTTCTTGATTTCTTTAAAAATATCGAAAGTAAGTAAGATTTTTTTAATCTGACATATCAACATCAAAAATTTTTTCTGTCGATATCTGAAACCCTAAGAAGAGCGTATTTATTCATAAAGATGACCAGTGCAGAATTAAGAAGGGTTTCGTATCTTCATCTACATATATATGTATATCAAAACTATTTTCATTGTTACATTTGAAACTTACAAAGTTTTGTTGTTGTTCATGTTGTTTCTCATTAACGTACTCTCCGTTGATGAAACAATTGATGGACCCCGTTGTAGCGGCAAAGTTTGGTATATCACCAGTATTGGACGTAGTTTTGCTTATAATTATCGTCCCCAATTGATACTGTCGTAGTTGTTGGTGGCTCTGCAGTAGTTCGATCGTTTGTTGGCTGCCATCACCGGACACATTGCTCAGCGTGCTCGCAGACGGGTCCGACGTATTGCACTCCAGTATGCCGCCGATGAAAATATCCTGCGCCGGTTGCGTTTGCTGACAGCAGCTGACAACGTCCACATTTTGTTGTATGTCCAGCTCATCGAGGAGCAAATGCTCGTTGGCGTGTTCGCTGCATTCATCGCTGGCCGCATTGGCAGAAACGGGCGGTTTTTGCGGGCAGCAATCACTATAACAACTTCCGATTTGTAGTTTCGGTAATTCATCGTATACCGAAGCATTCGTTTGATTTTGTTGGTACTGAAGGCTTTCAAACATATTGCTGTAAGTTGCGGTGTGTTGTTCCGCAGTTGCTGTTGGTGTCGCTGCTGGGGTCGTGCCAGATTTGTTCATATTAAATATAGCTGTTAGTTGCTGTGGTTGTTGTTGTTGTGTTTGCTGCTGATGTCTGTTTCTATATTGCGCTCCCTTGCGGTTGCGTATTCGCTTTCGGTCGGATTTCCGAGGGTCGATACCCAGCTCCCAGTAGCCGCCTTTGCCCTTTTCAAATTTTTTGCGGTCAATTTTTCGAAAACATTGGTGCAGTGACAAATTGTGGCGTATAGAGTTCTGAAATATATTTTTGGACGATGAAAAAATATAAATTACATTTAGAGAAGTAATATATACTCCCATAAAGCAATATTATTATTTTTTTTTAATCTACATAAAATTTGATAGGACCGAAAATTTATTTTAATTCAATTTAATTTTATTAATAACTTCAGGCCGGATCAAGGTATCATACGACACATAACCGAATATCAGCTGCAGCTTCATATACCTCTGTCGCTAACAGAGTTCTCCAGATACCGAGCTACCCCCCGTAGCGATTCAGCCTTAAAGGTCCTTGGATACAAAACGAAAATCGATGCCCAAAAAAGGTGACAAGCTCCGCATTAACTCGACCAAGTACGCAGCTCTTTTTGTTGCATTCATAAGTAGCGCAATATATGTGGGAGGCAGGAACGGACGTGCAACTAGAAGAGGACGAACATACTAACTACAGAAGCGGACGAACATATTAACTACATTGAATTGCAACCCTGCGGACTTAACGTACGCATCCTTAGCTTGACGAACGAGACGAGACGCTTGTTGGACGAAATACAGGCAGTTGCAGTTTAAACCTCGGGCGAGCAGCATCACAAGATGCGTAAAACTATTTAATTAACATTCATTAAGATATTAAAACCTAATGTGAACTATTAACTTAACATTTATTAAAATTATACCTAATGTAACATATTTATTGAATAATATAAAATTGAAGCCGGTGGTGGTGACGCGTTAGTGAGGGTGGTGGTATGCAATAAAACGTGTGTTCCAGTAAAGAATATGGTTTTATAATCCTTCACAAGTGCGAAAATTGGGCGTTAAAAAAAAAACATAAAAATGGAAAATTCATACTAAGTTGATTCGGAGAATTTTGTTGAACTCGGCAAATTCAAAGTGACGGTTAGTATTTGAATTGTGACGAACCGAAAAACGCATAAAGTGAGGGAGAAAATTCGAGATGAAGACGTGAGAATCGACGCAGTATAAGCCGCACAGCATTATACTGCAGGCAAGCGAGTTAGAAACAGTACGAAGGCTGAAATAGTACATACATGCCGCACTGCAATGTACTGAGACAGCAATAGTTAAGGTTGCGAACGAGACGAAGGAAGAACCATAGAAAAGTGTTTGAAAAGCGAAGCGAAGTCGTAGAATAAAAAGTTGTTGTAGTAGTGACCCTGTGGGGAAAATCTCTAGTTCTGAACTGGGGCGCTTCTAGTACATTTAGACCCAGTACTGGTTCGCGATAAATCTCTTTTGCATGCAAGCAACTGGCGAATTTAACATGGCGATATCCTAGGAAGTGTCAATTGCCCCCCGCTGCATCCCTTTTTAGATAGTTCCGAACTAGTCCTAAATTCTATAGTTCCGAACCAGTTCTAAAATCGACAGACGAAAGAAAAAAGTATCATGATTTTTCAATCTTTTCGGTTCTTCCGTGTGTGATTTTACATTGGCTGCGTTTCTTTATACATTCCGGATAACCCCATTTCACAGCCGGAATAAACAGAATGCGTTTGAAGTACACGTCAACGTATCATCGAGAACATTCTAAAGAATAAATAAACAAAAAAGTTAATTCAGAATGAATAAAGAAATGCAGCCATTATTTTCAAAGAAAAGTTTTTTCAATTTAAAATTTAATTTGTTTGAATGATTGTACGTTTACTTACCTTACTGTAGCTGACTTTGCAGAGGTGCTCGCTGTTATTGGTTAGATTCCAGATGGCCCCAAGATGTTAATATGTTAACACAAAGCTTTGTTTTGTATTACCAAACTATGAAATAGCATCTGCGAAGCACAGAATAGAAGCGTATTTGAACGAAAAAGCCGCCGCACAAATATCTATGTAAAGTAAACAAGCCCCCCGCTGCATCCCTTATTCGATAGTTCCGAAATAGTAATAAATTCGACAGATAGGATCTAGTTCGTTCTGCATCCCTTTTTCTATAGTTCTGAACCATTTCTAAATTCGTCACTTTAGATATAAATTTGAAGTGAAAAAAACTGAAAAAATTAGTTTCTTAAAAGTACCACTTTTCGCCGATTTTGGACTGGTGGGGATATAGTTCCTATCGGACTAGTTCCTTTTTGGCGATAAAGACCTAGTACGGAACTAGAAATTTGATTCACTTGTCCGCGGTTTCCCTGCAGGGGAAAGCCAGCAGCAGTGGTGTTAGTTGCAGTGATTTGTGAGTGTATATGTACACGATCGCAAATTAGCGAAGCAGAAGTAGAACTACATACCACGAAGAAGACAGCAGCAGTGGTGTTAGTTGCAGTGATTTGTGAGTGTATATGTACACGATCGCAAATTAGCGAAGCAGAAGTAGAACTACATACCACGAAGAAGACAGCAGCAGTGGTGTTAGTAGCAGTGGTTTGTGAGTGTATAGGTGCACAATCGCAACCCTGCAAAAAATGGGACTAATCCGGGAGCAATCGCAAAGGAGCATGCGACTAATACCACTTTTGATCTCTTTATATGGAATGAACTGTTCGCTTTTGTTCGAGCATGTCCTATGAAGAGACTAACTGTTCACCTTTATACCCGAAAGGGTATAAAAAGCGACTAGTCACTTTTAAAAAATAAAAATTTGCGCGAGCTGAGATTCGAACCGGGGTGCTCAGTTTTGTTAGGCGAATACTCTCCCTGCGTGCCAACGCCGCACATGAAATTGCATTGACTAAGTGCGTACATATCATTAAATCGTTAATAGTACCCGATAGCGTTGAGTTGGGGACTAATTGATCTCCAATTATACCCATAAGAGACGAGTCGAGACTAATTGATCTCCATTAGTACCCGACTAATTAATGCCCTATTGTACCCGGTTGAGAGTAATCTCGGAATACTCTCTTTAGAGATTAGTCGCACAATTTTTTGCAGGGAAATTAGCGAAGCAGAAGTAGAACTACATACCACGAAGAAGACAGCAACAGTGGTGTTAGTTGCAGTGATTTGTGAATGTATATGTGCACAATCGCAAATTAGCGAAGTAGAAGTAGAGCTACATACCACAAAGAAGACAACAGTAGTGGCCAGAGTGCAAGCCGAAGAGCTTCGTATTGAGTAGCAACAGCGATAGACCACGATCTCAGAAATGTGTGATTGTATGAGATAAAGCAGTAAAAACAATATATAACGAATATAAAATTACATGAAAGAAGGCATAAAACAGTGACATCAAAAAGAAGAATGCTCAAACTACATATGTAGCGTAATAGTGTGAGCTAAACAACATAATACATAAACAGTGGAAGTTTGAAGCAAACACAGTGTACATTCACTTGAGAATAGCACAAATACAATGAAATAGAAACACAATAAAATAAAACATACCCTATAAACATTTTGGCGAACGTTCGAAAAGTACCTTCGATATCCAATGTGCATATCGAACTGAGAACGAACTCATAACCAACCTTGGTTTTCCAACGTTCAGAGCAAGGCGAATTTATATAAGGTACAAAAGGAGGATGAGTATAAAAACAAAAACTTACATGTATTTTGTTTTTGCTTTGGCGGCATAAACTGTCAAAATCTGTAAGAGTGTGTGTGGAAATTCAAACAAAATTTTTCAATTTGACATAAGAAGCCGTGAGGCGAAACACATACACAAAATCAGCTGATCTAGTAACACCACCTTATATAAATTCGCCTTGGTTCAGAGTAAATTTTAAATACACTCGAAATGGGTTCTAAAAAAAATTAAAACCATAGTAACAAGAGAGAAAGTGAAATCCAGCTCATTCTCGAAGGAAAATATAAGACAATCGCTCTCTCACAATAAAATTTCAATTCGATAATGGGCTGGATTTCGAATTCATAACGAAGGGAAAATACATTGGATAACGAAGGTGCCGTTTTGCTGGAGAATGGCTTAGTTCTCGAATCGAATACTAACCTATTGCACATTCGTTATCGAAGGTAAGACTCGAAAAAAAGATTGGTTTTCCAATCATTTTCGAATTGCTAACCTAATATTTATTGGGTAACTACACTACGTAATGAAACAACAGGCGTACGTTTTATGCAGAAAAGTGGAAGTAAATAGCAGCGATTGCAGTGCAACTATAGCTCATCAAGAACGACAACAGTGAAACGAGCAGTAACAACCCTGCAAAAATTGCGACTACTCCATGCATGCGTGTAAAGAGTACTCCCTAAGGATCAAGGAGTACTCCAAAATTAAACACAATTCATATAAAAAATAATATCCAATTAACATTGCGATGTCCTAAGGCAGGACCATATCGATGGCTGAGTGGAAGATCGACCTATCTCGGCAGCCAGTTCGAAAACGCTCTATTTCAAAAAACTTTTCAAGAACGCCCTATTTCAGAATTTAATTGAAAAACACCCTATCTCAAAATTCGGTTCAAAAATGCCCTATCCCACTTCAAAATGTATTGAAAATATGCTGATATAGGGCGTTTTTGAATCGGCAGCTGAGATAGGGCGTTTTTGAAACGAATTCTGAAATAGGGCGTTCTTGAAAAGTTTTTTGAGATAGAGCGTTTTCGAACTGGCTGCCGAGATAGGTCGATCTTCCACTCAGCCATCGATATACTCCATCCCTGCATTACATCAGAGTAGCACAAAACTACTCCAACATATTAACAATGGCATTGTTGTTATATTTTTTCGTTTGTACACGCTTTTGTTCTTCACTTCTCAAATGCTTTTTCGAAATTAATAAAAACCAAGAAAAAAATTAAAAATGCCTCTGATGGCATTCGAACCCGAACATGCTGGGAGATATAAACTAACAGCGAGCATCTCTACACGTTCAGCTACAGCCAGACATGCAAATGTGCTTTCAAATGCTCAACTTCAATGACATTTCGTTAAAACACGAGCAGTGATCAGATAACAAACAATAAGCTGGCGCAGAGACACGAGTTGGTCCGATACAGCATGACAGAGGAACACTTTTGTAAGTACTCCAATTTACCACAAATAGACTACATGGTCCAACGATTTTTGCAGGGAACGCGGAATTAAATCGCC